CAATAACTTGCTTATGAAAACTCAAATTTTGGCAAAGGGAATCGTTCTGTGAAATAACTTGACGTTTTAAAGCTTGAACTGCTGCCTAAGAAGCCTAAGAAAAAACTCATTTTTTTGCCATCCAATCTGCTCTATGAAATGACCAGAATTAATTTATCAAATTTTGATAGCTCCAATACCTGAGTTAAGTGAAGCTTGAACTGTTTCCGAACTGATTTGCTCTAAGAACCAGTTTGAATTAATTAAACGTTTGATCAACTCAATGGCTTCAAAATTAATTTGTAAACAGTTTGCCTTCCATTTCGTTTAAGCAAAATAGCTTGACTTACTTCGAAAAGTCATATCTTGAATAGCTTGCTTACAAAACTTTCACTTCTCGCAAAGCAAATCGGTCTATGAAACAACTTGAATCATTTCAGATTTTTATCGTTCCGATAGCTTGCTTAAGAAAACTCAAATTTTAGCAAAGGGATTCGTTCTGTGAAATAACTTGACGTTTTAAAGCTTGAATTGCTGCCTAAGAAAATTTCATTTTTTTGCCAACCAATTTGCTCTATGAAATGACTTGAATTATTTATTCATTTTTTAATAGCCCAAATAGCTGGTTTCAGAGAAGCTTGAATTTTTCCCGAACTGATTTGCTATAACAAACAGTTTGAATTAATTCAACATTGGATCATTTCAAGGGCATCAAAATAAATTTTAAACGTTTTTTGTCCAATTCGCTTCAACAAGTTGCTTGAATTACTTCAAAAGTTTTTATCTTGAAAAATTTGCTCAGTAAAGTTGAAATTTGTGGCATCCAATTTGCTTCGAAAGATTTTTTTCATTGGTTCATAGCTGAAATAGTTTTCTTTGAAAATTTTAATCTTTCGCCATCTGACTTAAATACGAAAGTACTTGAAAATTAGCATATCTTCTTAGCAGGAAAAACTTGCTTAGACTAACTGAACTAATTGATCATCCGATTCACTGAACGGTTTTAGTTGAAAACTTATAAAGTTTCATAACTAAAAGCTTGCTTAGAGAAATTCAATTTTTTGCCATCCGATTAGCTTTTCGAAATTACTTGAAATATTTCAAAGTATCATAACTTGAAGGGCCTGAATTGAGAAGGGCTTGAGTTGAAAAGCAAAATCATTCGGTCTAAGAGAGACGAAATATTTAAAGACGAATTATTATAAGTTTCTTGTTTCTTGGCTGGAATAGCTTGCTTAGTAAAAATTTAACGTTTCGCTATCCAATTTACACCATGAATTAACTTGAAACATTTCAAAGTTTCATCGCTGTAATTGCTTTCCAGAAAATTTTGAACTTATTGCAAAATAATTTGGTCTATGAATGGCTTCAATGGCTTCAATTGCTTCCATAGAAATAAGTAAGCCGTTTGCTATTCGATTTGCTACATGAAATAAGTTGGAGTATTTAATTTTTTCCTAGCTAATTTATTTTTTGCCATCCAATTATCTCTATGAAAAAACTTGATATAATTTTTAAAAAATCTTAGCTTGAATGGCTTCAAACAAAAAATTTTATATTTGTTTTACAATACGATTCGGTCTAAGAAACAACTTGAACTATTTCGCAGCTTGTGTAGGAAAACTTGAACGTTTCGCCATTTGCTTTCGTTCATGAAATTACTTGAAACATTTCAAAGTTTCATCGCAAGATTAGCTTGCTTGAAAAATTAACGGAAACTGGGTCGATCCATGATACGACTTGAAATATTTCAAAATTTGTAGGTAAAATAGCTTGCTTAGAAAGTCTTCAACTTATTGCAGAATGATTCGGTCTTCAAAATAACTTGAAATTTTTGATGTTTCATTGCTTAAAGAGCTTCAACAGAAATATTTTAACTTTTTGTCATCTGATTCGCTGCATGAAACATCTTAGAACATCTCAAAAATTCTAATCTGGAAAAATTTTTTTAGATAACTTTCAAAATTGCGCCATCCAATTTCATTCAATTTTCCTAGCCTCAATAGCTTGCCCTTGAAAACTGATTTTTCTTAAGACCAGATGTGGTTTATGAAATTTAAATTTTTTAAACAGATTTACAATATAAATTTTTGAAAGTTTGATAAACTTAAATTTTTGAAGTTTCTTTGCTGGATCAGAAGAACAAGTGTTTAGCTGATTAACCATATGAGACGGGCTTGTTAGTATATCTTTTTTTGAAATAAAAAACTTGACGCAATGTGTAACTAAATGAAATGTTTTAACTCTGTCGACCGCAACCTTTAAGAAAATCCTTACGGTTCAGCGTTTAAAAAAAGTCAACAATTTTTTTCTCAAAAATCTGGAGTACTCTAGATTTTTTTGAAGAAGTCTTCTCTTAAGTCAAAATCAACTCAATTCAACTTCAAAACTAGACGTTTGCTGTCCTATTTTTGTCTGAGTTTTTGCGTGCTCAGTTTCATTTCAGCCTGAAATGATTTTTCTAACAACAGCAACCTCCCTGCTTAGAGAAACTATTATTTTGCGCTATGAAACAATCAGAAATTTTTCGAAATTTAATCTCTTGTATAATTTTTTTCTATAAAAAACGAATTTTTTTTTGAGTTGATGATTTGTAGTTCATACCCTTGAACAGGTCGCGATAACTTACTTTTTCGTGGATTGATTTTTGATTTGTTATTAAAGTTAGGTTCATTTCTTTTGTTAAAACGAAAACAAACTCCACCATCAAACTCCTAACGTAAAAAAGTCACGAGAAAAAGATCGACTTATTTTTGAAAACAGAATTTAATTATCAAATATCCCAGTGGAATAAAAATTTTATAAATCGATCTAGTATCAATTGAAAGTCTTATTGCGTTATACACGCAATGTTTCCAATTTTCTATCGAGCACAATGTTTAAATAGTCTTAGATCAGAAGGTTCAAGCATCACTCTCAAGTCTGAAAATTTCTAGAATTCTTCATAAAAAAATCCAAAATTTGTCAAACAAGATCAAATCGATTCAACTTCAATTCTAGACAGTAACTCCCCTCTTTTTTAAAAAAAACTTTTGCTTTATTAGGTTCATTTCAGCCTGAATTTAATCCAATAAAAACACTAACCTCCATCCTTGGAAAATCTTTTTTTTCCCGAACCGAATTACTCTATGAAATCACTTGAATTATTTCATCGTTTCATGCTTGAATAGCTTGCTTGGAAAAACTTAAACTTTTCGCTAACCGATTAAATCTTTAAACTGAGTTGAAATTTCTTAAAATTTTATAGCTTGAAAAGCTTGCTTAGAAAACCATAACGGTTAGAAAACCGTTTCAACTATAAGATGACTTAAAAAATTTCATTTCTTCAGACTTTTTTTTAGCTTACTTAGAAAAACTGAAACTTTTTTTGAACCAATTCGGCCAATGAATAAGCTTGAAACATTTCAAAACTTCATGACTGGGAATAGCTTGGTGAAATAATTAAATCTTTTCGCGGATCGACTCAGTCTTCAAAAATAACATTGAAAACTTCGCTTGAAAAAACTTAATACCTTGAATAGCTCCTCTAAAATCTTTATTGCTTTTTCGCGGACTGATTTGCTATATCAAATAACTTATAATAATTCAGAATTTTACTGCTTGAATGATTTAATTGGAAAAGTTTTCGCCATCCGATTCCAGCTTGCTTAGAAAAACGTTAGTTTTTCAAACATCGTTTCAGCCTATGAACTAAAATGAATAATGCTAAAATTTAATCAGTTGAGTTGCTCCGAAAGAAAAACAAAAACTTTACGCTATCCTTATTTCTCATGAAATCAACTTAAAACGCAAATTTTTATAAGTTAGCTTTTTTTTAAAAAAAAATACGTTTTTTGCGGATTAATTTGTTCCATGAAATTAGTTTCAAGGTTTCAATGGTTTTCTTTGAAAAATTTTATAGAAAAATTTGATTTTTTTTTGCAAACCGGTTTGGTTTTTGAACCCTTCAAAGTTTTATTGGCTGATTGGCTTTAATAGAAAAACTCAAGCTTGTTTCATTCTTTTTTCTTCATGAAATCCTCTGAATTAACTCATAGTTTCATAGCTTGATTAGATTGCTCAAGAAAAATTTGATTTTTTTGCCGACTGAGTCGCTCCATGAAATAACTTGAAATATTTCAAAGGTTCGTCGCTTGAATAGTTTACTGAGAAAAACTTTATCTTACGCTATTTAATTCACTCTATGAAGCAACCTGAAATTTTTTTTCAAACAATTTTTTCATTGAATTTTTTTTTCAAACAGATTTACGATATGATATGGCTGAACTTGAAATTGATCGAAAATTCATTGCTTGAATAGTTCGATCAGTAAAACAACTAAGTTTTTGCAATCCGATTGATTATTGGAGACGGGCTAGCTAGTTACGTTTAAGTGTGAGTGGCTAGCTAAATAAGCTCGCCTTCTAGAATCTTTCAAATACTTCATTTTTTTCGACTCCTGACTGGCTTGGGTTTAATATGATAAATTACTTTACATCTTGTGATGCATCATTTTTCGTGGATAACTCAAAACCAAAACAAAACGCCCGATGTTAAACCCCCCACATTTTTCAATGGATAGAACTATGAGTTTTTTTTGCAATCATTATGAACTGTTTTTTTTTTATAAAAACCTGTCATTTTTCAGAGGTTGAGAGAATTGATTTGAAATAGTTCAAGAAACGTCAACTGCATAAAATAAAAAAGTGAGTTTTTTCAAAATGTTGTAAGAAAAATAATTTTTTGGATCAATTTTTGTCTGGGGAATCATTTTCAACTGCTTTTGTCTCCTAGGTGTTTGCATATTTACTGCTTGATATTTATATTTTTGTTTGCTTAATTATCATAAATGTTGAGCCTAATTTTCTCTGGCAATGAGCCAAGTCAAAAATTCTGTAAGCGAGTCTGGATTACAATGAATATTTTTTGGCCGCTTACAAATTGTCGGACGGCTTTCTGGACCGTTTTCAATAAAGCATCTGGCTTTCCGCTTGACTGTTTTTTATTATTCCATCTATTTTTACTCAATTCTTAATCTCCTCTATTGGTTTTGAATGAGCTTGGAAGCAGAATGTTTTCAGTTTTAATCCCGAATTGAAAAAAAAAACACAAACAACTACCTTTCAGACAATGCCAGCTATTACCGATCCTGGTTTTTTTAAAAAGCCAAACCTTGGTTTTGACAATAATCCAATAGCAATTTTAACCAACAATCCTTCGTGATATGACCAATAACTCAATTAGGTAAGAAATTAATTTGAGATTTTGAATCCAGTCAAAAAACAAATCAACCAAGAAAGTATGATTAAAATGCCAAACTTTGAGTTCAAGTTCTGTTGCTAATTTAAGTTCAGAAAGTATTGCAAAAAATTGACGCAAAATCAGGCACGACAAATCATTATCAAAAAAAGCGGAGTGATATCTTATTTTATAAGACTTTCGTTTGTATCTCAAACTACTTCAATTTTTTCCAAAAAAAATTCAGTGTCGAGAACAACTGATCCGAGTTTTTTTTGCCCTTAATTTAATTTCAAGCATGTCAATTGAGCAAGTAAGTGTTCGAAAAAAGCTGTTATTCAAACTTAGTTTTTCACTAGAAAACTAGTTTTCAAAGCTTCAAATAGAGCTTTCTTCTGCGCAAAATTTTAAAAATAATAACAAAAAACTTAGAGCGAAAATAATTTCATGAATTTTTGTTCATTTTTGGTTAAATTTTTTTTCTTTTTCGAATTCCAGATGTATGCCAGATGAATGTAAATGTTCACTAAATATTTTCATTTATTTTATTGCATTCAATGAGTGCTAAATTGTCAATAGTCAACAGTTCTTGGGACAATTTAGCTTCATTATTACTTTGGGACAGCTCGAAAAGTTTGGTCGATCATTGAAAATGCTGATAAAAGCTGATAAACAGTGGTTTTTGTTAACATTTCGAAAGTTTGAAAAATTTATATATTTTGTCACAAAATGTTTCTTGAATTGATATCTAACAGGCTTTTTTGCTTCAAAAAACAAGCAAAACTAACGTTCTGAAAATTTGGTTAGACATACATAGCCCTGAATTATTGCTGTATTCAAGACAAACCTAGAAAACCCTTATTTGTAAAAGATTAAAATGAACAAGACTGGTCGAGTCAAGGCAAAACGCTAAATTTTTATATTCCGACTGCCCTTCAACGTTTCCAAAATTGTTTTTGGAAACATCAATTGAAAAAACCCAAAAAAAACAAAAGATACAATTTTTTTTTCTGATTTTGTCAAAAATTCCCCCATTCCCACACGTTATGTTAAGTAAAATATGATATTCTTAGCGTCCTGTAACATAATAATTGGAATAATAATCTTGCTTCAGCTCAGTTTGGGACCATTTATAAGCATGACCGGAATGAATATCCGCTTACATGTTAATAGCGCCAAATTTTTCGTGCGTTAATGGTCTCAAATTAGCCAAATTAGCATTGTTAAAACCCAATCCAATAACCTTTCAAAAATCAGCATCGGTAATTCTTTTCAAATTCAAGCTCAGAACGTCACTGGATGTTAAGGCTAACAAAAAGTAGCTCTAACTAATCCTTTTGGGTCTAATTTACAATGTTTTACAAAATGTAACTCTATTCTGAATCGTCATTTTAATAAATGATAAAATAGCACTTACACTTTTTTGGAATAATTAAAATTTTATTAATAATAGAGAGAGACAGTTTTCATTA